ATCATTAATTTTTTAGATACTGTGTTAAAATGTAAAATATTTACTTAATTACGCAAACTTAACATATTATAATATAAATTAACTTATTTAAATTTTGGTTATCGATTGAACTTGTGTTTTCTGGCGGGCGCGGCATATTTTATTTTCTACAATTAACTGCTTTCCATCCTATCATCAACTTCCATATATGGCTCTGAGGCTTCGCTGTTTGAAACAGCTTTCTAGATCGCTACCACGAATTAATAGTCAATTTACTTCTAGCTACCACGAAAAAGTAATTGACCACTATGAGAATCCTCGCAATGTCGGGTCACTTGATAAAGCAGATAAAAATGTCGGGACCGGTCTAGTCGGCGCCCCCGCCTGTGGGGATGTCATGAAACTACAGATTCAGGTTGCCTCTTTAAAATTTAGGATTTTTTTTTATTAAAGCATTTGAGATAATGGTAATCCGCTTATTCCCATTTTATTAGTTAGAAATTTGTTTCATAATTATCAGGGTAATATAACACCAAACTTTAATATATCTTACTATTTTAAGTCTATCCTGGTTTGGCTTAATTCATATTTTGTAATTATGTTGGCTTTATGACTTGTGAGAAATTATAAATGCTACAAGACGAAGTTACATCACATGAACCTCGTCGAACTGTTTTTAAATTGCAATTATTCAGAGTCCTAATCTCATATTTATGAAATATTTGCCATATTCTTAAGCTAAAACTTATGTTTACCCTATTTTTGATAAGATGTTATTAGTTTTGCTAGTTTCATACCTTGTACATCTGTAAAAGTTATTTATTTAACGAATTGTTAAGCATAGTATTCATCCCTCATTTTGTCACGGTAGTTACTCTTTAAATTTAAGGTCGATAAAGACGGCAAGATAGTTGAAGCAAAATTCAAGACATTCGGTTGCGGTTCCGCCATTGCATCTAGTTCATTGGCTACTGAGTGGATTAAAGGAAAAACTCTAGATGAAGCAAGTGTCGTGAAGAATACAGAAATAGCGAAGGAACTGAACTTACCGCCAGTAAAACTTCACTGTTCCAGTAAGATATCTCTTTTTACTTTATGTTGTTTTTACGCTTGATTATCTCTTTAATTTTTGCATTGTCTTATTATAGTGTTGGCGGAGGACGCTATCAAGGCTGCTATAAAGGACTTTAAGTCAAAAGCTTCTCAGGATAAATGACTTTTACTTCATATTCAAACGACATTTCTCAGTTCGACTCTTAACTTATTTTAGAATTAGTTTTCTCCGTTCGCCTCGTTTGTGGAATTTGTGACAATCTTCTATGTGGTCATGCTATTTGATGCTCGGCAACTATATTTTTATACACCTGCATTTTTTGAGTTCAATTGTTTGATCTCCTATCTGAAAGTTTATTTCCTTCAATTACTTCATACTTGTTGTGAGCGCTAAAAATTGGTGTCTGATGTTGGCTTTCAGGAATCTGCAATAGTGGATAAACCTGCTTTTTTTGTCATTAGCTTTTTTTCAACTTGAAACTTGTCATTTTTTTGAATTCTAAAGGTAAGTGGAAAATGTATCACTTTTAATCAAGTTTTTATAACCTTTATTTATGACTACTTGATAGTTTTATCATTGTTTCATTCTTTTGGATACCTAAGTAATAGAGTTTATGCCGGTCTATAAATTCGGTTCGAAATCATTAAGTGTCCGTTATATAATATTTTCATCATTTGCTCATGATTGTCAATTGTCTTATTATTTTCAAACATTTCTCTTTTGCGCGAACAACAA